ACCATTATGGGATGGGGGTATATTAGGGACGGATTAATTTAAGAGTTAAGTCCTACCTATTTTTAATAAGGGAACGGATTAACCATAGTGTTAAGTCCTACTCATTCGTGTCAGGTCAACGGAATAGTTGGATGACATATTATTAAAATAATAATTGGATAGTTTATTTTTGATGGTTGGATAGAACGGATTTTAAATATATAATTATACGCTATGATATGAGCTTGAGTTTCAAGATCAGTGGTTAGGGTGCGTATATTGCCAGGGATGTGTAGCTAGATATAGCGTAGTTGTGTACCCTGGTAAGTCTAGGTACTCATGCCCACTATATATGCGTTTTGCATGTTGCCTACTATTCAGGTTGAGACAACTCTATAGTCTAGTGAGGTTCCTTTAGTGTGTATATATCTACATATGGACTATTTAGTTATTGTTGAATTAATTAGGATGTGTACGTGTATCGGTTCTCTGTTTGGGATGTAGTAGATTAGAACTTGTTTGTGGACCTGACCCACCATTATTTTTCAGGTGTTCGTCAGTTCCAGTCTTAGAGATTGTTCGTGCCGAGCAGAGACAGCCATTCACTCTTCCGACTCTACGTAGGACTCGTCTTCATTAGTTACTTATTATTTTTATTTCGGTTCAGTTATTTCAGTTAGGATATTATTAGGGGTCCACAGTATGAATTCCCGAGTTGTAGTTTAATTAATTACTAGTATTCGAGGATTGGAGGATTTTATTATTGGATTTTTAATTATTATTTATTTGAGGATTTTAAAATAGGTATTTATTATTTAATTTCCTTCAGCTTATTATTTATTTATTTATTTATTATTCTTTTTGTATTCAAATGCTTGTTTAAATATTAATTGTTTGATGAAATTGATCAAAATTAATCAATAAATTTCGGAAAATATAAATTAAGCCCAAAAAATTTCAGAAAAATTCCAAAAAAAATTTAGAAAATTTCTGAAGCCTAATTTAACCCTCTTGGACATTTTCGAAACTTCATAGCATCCTTTGATGAAGATTTCATGGCTTTAAAAATATTTACAATTTGAAATACAATGGAAAAAATTAAATTACATCATTGAACTTTCAAACGACTAAATCAAAGCCTTAATTACATTCATCCAAAGAAAATATTACATTCAATTAACCTATAAGCTTCATCCATGGTCCAAACACACATCATCATCCATTCACAATTATACATACATCATCTTGTATCAATATATAAAATCATACATCAACATACATTAATTTATATTTATAATTTGGATCCATAATGATGATTTTGATAAAATCATGATCTCTAGTAATGAATCAAACCATGCTCTGATATCATTGTTGGGAAACGTGCTAGTTTTAAAAATTTTTCGAGGGATTTTCATTCACAGATCTTGATCTATCACATAGAGACAAGTTTTATGCAAAAATAAAATATGATGTATCATTCAATTAACAAATTAAATACTTACATCAAAGGTCTGAGTAAACCTTTAAATCTTTCCTCTAAAGTGAATGTTCTCATTTATTGTAGATCCCTTAGCAAGATGATTTATTCTTGAATCTCCATCTTCTTGGTAATTATTTTGCCTTTTGGAATCACTCATAAGTCTCCATGAATGACCTTGGAAAATTAGGCTTGTGGGAGCCTCCATTAGATGAGAACACTAATCCTAATTTTCTAGAGAGAGAAAATATATTCCTTTTTCCTTCTTCCAAAAAATCACACCTAAAATATACATAGACCATGTATATATATAGGCAACATAAAGATAAAGAAAAGGAAATAATAAATCATTCTCAATCTCTAATTCACATATCTCAAATCTAATAGGATTCCAATATCAAGTTAGGCTATGAGTGAGAATCTTTTGGGTTTATTATTTTATTGGCTACAATGAATTAATAATTGGCCCAGTCCATGGACCCAATTCAATTAATTCATAAATTAATTTCTACTCCACTAAAAGAAATTAATTGAACTTCAATTAAATAATAAATAGCCTCTAAATCAATGTTGTACTTTGACCTCTCTATGCATAACCAGTTATCAGATAAATAAAACCATCAATCCGACTACTTAATTAATATATTTATTTTGGTACCATTGATTATATTTGGCTCGATCACAATAAAACATTTGTTTGACAAAAATAATAATTTAAATAAATAAATATATAATAAATCATTTTGTCTAAAAACACACGAAGGCTTTCGAATTTACTTTGTGATCAACCATAATTAATACAAAATAAATACAAGTAGCAATGATTCAAATATTAAAAATATAACTCTCTAACTATTAATTACATAACTATCCAAAGTGTCGGTCTAAGGATCCCGAAGTATCCATCGAACAAATCAAAGTAATTATTAATTAATAAAAGAGTTTATACTTTTCTCATACTTAAGAGTCAAATGCCACGACTGTAATAGGGAGCAATTGCATATGACGATTCTCGCAATATATCACAACCTAACGCGGATCTTGTTCAAGTCTTAATTAATTATGAATCCATCCCTAATTACCGACTATGAACAATTTATAATTACTATTTATATTCATGTATTGATCACCATCACATACATATATAAATATTTCTTGTAATCAAGATGACACTATTAATTCTATAATGAATCAAAACATAATACATTGAATTCACCAATTGTATCAAATATAAATATTTCAAAAATATCAGGAATATATGTCACTATAATCCAAATAAGAATTTACTATGCCGGAGCATATAAATCCCAACAGGTAGATGGTGGTTAAGGTGTTTCATTGTTTGGGTAATTGAGAATGTTAATAAAGGTGAAGGACACTAGATTACTTTATCCTGCTTCTGTGGATTTCGTATTGGAAGGTTGATTCTGGGTAGTAGTGTGGTGATGGCATTTGGAAACAGCCACGTGGAGTTGACAATAAAGGAAGAGAGTTTGGTCTTGCTGTCATAGCTTGTGTCACTGATCTGTTGGGGAGAGACAAGTTGGTGTAAAGGTCCCAGGGGACTCCAATTGTCAAACCAAAAATTGGAATTGCTTCCATTTCTAATTTCGACCTTGACAGAAGGTTGGATAGTAGCCCGAAGGTTAAGAAGCCTCCTCCAATTCCATGAGCACTGTCTAGGTGTCTTCACTTTCCAAATGTTTCTTCCTTTCAAGGGATAAGTTTTAATCCATTAAACCCAGAGCATATCTCTAGAGTTAATGATGTGCCAAAAATGCTTCATGATAGCAACTTCATTCCATGTTGATAAATTAGGAAACCCAAGGCCACCAGCTCTTTTGGGGAGACAACAAGTGTCCTAATTTACTTTAGCTCTTGTCTTTTTGAGCGATGGCCCGGACCAAATTAAGGAAAGCCTTGAAGATGCTATCCATATCAGTGATAATGCTCATTGGGAGGATGAACTTTGGGATACAGTACATTTGTGAGGAGAAAAACACATCTTCAGTACATTTGCTTGAGTTTAGGAGCACAAATTCTATAAAAAATCATCTTTAGTTATAAATAAGATATAGTTAATAGTTAATCAATCATATATAAATATTGCATTTGAATGTTTAAATATAAAAATTACTTTATTATAATATTGGAAATTTAAAAAGTAATTTGGTTTAAATTTGATAGATAATAAAAGCCACCAGCTCCACGAACACCCAATACTGGTATCACATCCCCAAGCAATTGCTCCATCCCTTAGAATAGGATTTTCTACTTTCTTGTGATTTCCGCGCAAGTTAAACCATTGAGATAAACATTTCAAACATTTATTCAGTGAGTCTCAAAGCCTCAACTCATAAGAGTTGCTGCTCACAAAGGACACTATAATTTTATTTATAGGCATCCTAAATAACCTCACCTGTTACTCCAGATATTTATAATACTATAAATTCTCTACTATTTTAGAATATTCTTTACTCTCCACAAACATCTACAATTCTTTTCAACTCTCTCTACACCGTTTATGCCATGTTCTAGTGTATTGCCTATGTGTCGTAGGTTCGTGCAATGTATTTGATTGGTTTCTAACTATAAACTCAAATTTAAATATGGACAATACTTTGGCCCTCTCCGGACGCTAAAGTTCATAATCTCCGCTGATGTGGCTAAATACAATTTAGATGCATATTCAAAATTTTAAATTTTTTAATTATGGTTATTATTAAATTTCTTACGGGTTAAACCCGACTCAAATTATTATTATTTTTTTTTCCGATTTAAAATTTATAGAACCCTTCTTTTAGCAGGACTCTCTTCTCTTCCTTCCCTCTCTCTATCTCCCAATAAATCTCCATACTCAACATTCATCTAAAGCCCTACTCTATTTACATCAATTAAATACTTAACTTTTATTCAATATATAAAACAATATACAACAGAAGCTCATAAGTGATACAAAACTACACCAATTGGAATTTGGAGTATTCACAAACTTTCAATCTTTCTTTTTCATATTTTCCGGCCACCAACTAGAGACAAAAAAAAAAAAAAAAAAACCTGCTGTATCAATTGAAGGTGTTAGGAACTTGGGAGGGGTGAAAAAGACAGAATTAGCTCGGACAAAAAATAGATTTACAAGAAAAGTTAACTCTGACTATAACTAGATGTACTAAAAAAGCTTTATTCAAATATAGGTTAATATCAATTTTTTTATATAATATTTTAAATTCCTATTCAACACTTGATATAGTACATTCTTTAAATAAATTTCTAAATTTCACCTAAATTTTTTTATATTCTTTAGATAGTATAAATTTCGAATGAGAACTTTGTGATCTATATCATTGCTTAAGATGGGTTTGAGATGGCCATCAATTCATTCAATTTTTTCCAAGTTTTTTCTCTCTATGATCAATTCTGAAATGTAAGCTAAGGTATATAATATTGTGTCTATGTAAGTGCTAGAACATTTAATTGAATTCAACGGTATAATAAAATAAGAAACGAACAAGCAAAAATCAAAATAAGATAACATGCGCAATCAACCTTCTTAATTTATGATCTACTATGTCACAATTCAATTCTAATTCACATCACATAAAAAATATATTTGGTTTGGGGAATTCCCATGTATCAAGTACAAATTTTCGGGTCGAATAGTAAAATTTAGTCTTGTCAAAAGCAATAATTGAAAAATAAATCAAATCATATGATGCCCACTTTATGATCAGTGTTCTACATATCTACATTATAGAACAAGCATTTGGATTTTCATCACTAAACAACTGGGGAGCATAGACATAGTGAATAAAGTATGGAACATTTCCCTCCTTTGTTTTCGCCTCCACTTTCTTCTCTTCCTTGAACTCTATAATTTCCGTGGTTTCTTTTGTTTTCACTTCCACTGTAACCTTGTCTTCCTTCTTCTCTTCCTTCTTGTCTTCCTTCTTCTCTTCCTTCTTGTCTTTCTTTTCCTCCTTGTCTTCCTTCTTGTCTTCCTTCTTGTCTTTCTTTTCCTCCTTGTCTTCCTTCTTCTCTTCCTTCTTGTCTTGTTTGGGAGATATTATCTCTGCATGTTTGTGCACCCTCTTCTTCATGAATGCCAAGAGCTTTTCGGACTCGATGGTTCCTTCAATTGTTAGAGTCTGAGCTTTCATGTCAGTTTTAACATTATGAATGCCTGCATTTGTCAATAGCAACTCTCATGAACTGTTCTTGAACAAAATCGACAATTTTGATACAATTATTTCCTTTAATTACCTTTGTTCTTGAGTAGTTTCGTGCGCAAATCGCGCTCACACTGGTCACAGTGCATGTAAGCGTTTATTTTTGTTGTCCTTATTGTTTCCTCAATTCAGTCCAAAAAGAAAAAAACATAATTAGTCATTTTGCCAAAGCTTTTTTACAAGAGCTTCGTTCTATTGATGCACTTAAATTAATGTGAACTTTTCAATAACAAATGATTGAGTAATTTGGATATTCTGTGCACAGAATTGTTGGAAGCATATGATACACTGGGCCAATATATTAGAAATCACAGATTGATAGGACTATTTTTTCATAGGCATCCAAACACATCACATTCTTAATTAACTGTATTTTATTATTATTATTATTATTATTAATTCAAAGGACTAAAAAATTTATTCTTCCATATTCCAATATTGAGTTATATAAAAAATGAGAATAATATGTTAACTAAAATAAAATTTTACTCTAATTATCAAACCCTACTTTATAATCTAGAAAATTTATTTAAATCGATCATGCAGCTTGTTCAGTATTTGTGTTAAGTGTTCTTACCTTTTTGATTTCCTTCAATACTGAAACTTCTTCCTTGACCTTCACTACCTTTTTCTTACTGATCCTCTCTATTCTTTCATGCATTTTCTTTGCGTCAAATGTTCCTTTAACCGTAATTTCTCCACTCTCAAATTTGACGTCAACACTGTGTACACCTGGTTAATCGAGAGAGAAAAAAAAAAAAAACGAAAAAAAAGAAAAAAAAGTGGGACTTCCATTTGCATGCTCTCTACATAATCAAATAACTCTCTTATTTTTATTATTATTATTATTTTTTCCTTTAACATTTCTCAGTGTTTTCTGGTGCGATGTGTATACAAAGAGTATTATTATATACGATCATATACATAAAGTTAAGAACATTATAATGAAGAAGTAGCATACCTGGGGTTCTCATGAGAGGCTTTCTGATATCATATGCACATTTTGGGCAGTGTAAATGAGCTTTGTAAACAGCGATAATCGCCGATTCGACCTTTTCTTTTTTATCTTCTTTTGACATTGTACCCACCAAGCTCTGATGATCAACGAGCAAGAAACTCACAAAATGAGTCTCTAATAATATCTTGATCAAATAGAGATCAGAATTAATCAACCATAGGAAAGGTATAATGTATTTGGTTTTGGTACATTTAAAAAAAAAAAAAAAAAATCTAGTAGGTGGGTAGTTCACTGGCTAAGGGAAACTTGGTAGAGAAGAAAAATAATAAATAAATTTATTGAGAATGAAGGAGAGAACAATGTCTTTACTTATGGGGTTGGCTTATCATAATGTACCATTAATTAGATGTGATCCAATTGACTAATTGAACCATACACTTACCTGTCATCCAATTTTTAATTTTCAGTAATTTAGTGTTTGGAGTTTCATTGTTTTCAAAAGAAAAAAATGCTTGATTGAAAGACCTCTAGAATCAAAGTGCGTTATGTGGGTTAGGGCTTCATTTGTTTGGGTTGGCCTTCTCGGCCTTGTTTGTTCTTGTTTTTGCCCTGCTCGGGTCCGGCCCAGTTCCTTGTATAGTTATTATGTGTTGAACGAAAATTTCTCAAACTCCAATTTTTTTTTTTTTTTTTTTTTTTTTTTTTTTTTAGCCGGACAATGGTTAGTAATTAGTTGAAGAGGGAGAACCGAACCTAGGATTAAGACCTGATCCTTTTATCACTCATGCAACCCCGTCACACATATCTCTAATTCCAATTCAAAGACATCATTTTTCGAATATAACTTCGCTTCAAGACATGAAATAAAAATGTCATTATAGGTCACTAAAAACATTAAGTATTAAAAGAAAAGGTCGGTTTGGTTTTTTTTTTTTTTTTAAACCTTGCTTTTGTGAAAGAAAAAAAAGAAAAGAAATTCACAAGTAAGGATGACAAAAATTCCCACCCCAGCAGTCCTGTCCTATTTATGGCGGTTTGGGAGAACCGATTATGCAAATGGAACAGGAATGAGGACTACTTTAAAAAATCAAATAAATTTTAGAATAGTTATAAGAGTAAAAAAAAATAAACAGAAATGAGAAAAAGAACAGGAATAAAAATGGGAAATGAGATGCCCACCACAAACCTTCCCATTGCCATCCTTCATAAAACCTATTATTATATTGAGTTGGCAATGTATACAAAGAGAGCTGGGATTGTTTTGAGGCATTAGTTAGGGAGTCCTTGGTGGATGAGAGTATGAAATAATTTAAAGTTAGACATTAATTAGAGAGTCCTTGGTAGATGAGAATTCTAAAGACATTCAAGTTGATTAGTTACGTCTCTTTTGGTCCTTTCTTGCTTTCTTGTGCTACACGCAGTACAAGCCAAAAATGACTTTGACAGAACACATGCATTTGACAGAACACATGCAGTAGTCAATTATCAAATTAATTTCATTTACTATCCCACTTGCATTTGCATGCCCACTGTGCACCATTATTATCCCATTTGTTATTTGATGAGGTTTTATTCTAGTGCCATCTTTTTCAGGACCACAGTTAATCCCAAATTTGGGGGGATTATACCATCCACTTTGGATACTTGTGTCCTGCCCATTCATCACCATAGTTGTATTGGTATACTATTTCCTATTTCTTTTGTTCTTTTTGCACATTATATATATATATATATATTATATTTTAAAATAATATTTAAATAAATAATACTATAATATATAACATAATTAGATCGTTTTTTTTTGAACAACACCTCTCACCATCTGTATATATCATTAAGCACTCACTCTAGTTACACCCTATAATACCCCTACTTTAGCAACCCTTTTCTTACTAACACCAATCATTCCGATCGCAGCCGTCCAAGTCAAGCCGTCAAATCTGGGCCGCCATGTTGATTAAAGGCGAGACAACCATGACGGATGGAGGCTATTGTCATGCAGTAGTCAATTATCAAATTAATTTCATTTACTATCCCACTTGCATTTGCATGCCCACTGTGCACCATTATTATCCCATTTGTTATTTGATGAAGTTTTATTCTAGTGCCATCTTTTTCAGGACCACAGTTAATCCCAAGTTTGGGGGGATTATACCATCCACTTTGGATACTTGTGTCCTGCCCATTCATCACCATAGTTGTATTGGTATACTATTTCCTATTTCTTTTGTTTTTTTTGCACATTGAGGACATTATGCCATTTAAGTTTGGGGGTCATGTGATTAATGTGGGCAGCACTCTCTCATTGAAGTCACTATAATGCACCTGATAATGGAGTCAATCATCAACAGATATATCGATATAAGATCAAAACATCCATAATATCTAAGAATAAAAACAGTATAATGTACATCACAGTAATCAGACCAACAGACTGGCCGCAAAAATGGAATAATAGTATCAAAGTATCAGTCTGAAAATCATGAGTATAAATGAGATAAAGAGAGAAAGGTCAGGCAGAGGAAGACAGTCTGGCTGGGTGTGAACCCCGGATATGTCTAGGGGTATTATAGGGTGTAACTAGAGTGAGTGCTTAATGATATATACAGATGGTGAGAGGTGTTGTCCAAAAAAAAACGATCTAATTATGTTATATATTATAGTATTATTTATTTAAATATTATTTTAAAATATAATATATATATATATATATATATATATATATAAACGATCTAATTATGTTATATATTATAGTATTATTTATTTAAATATTATTTTAAAATATAATATATATATATATAATTATTATTATAAAATAATAATTTATAAATATATAATTTCTTATAATATATATAGTTTAATATAATCAAATAAAAATATAAAATAAATGAACCTAATTAAAAGTCGAAATTAGAATTTTATTCTATATCCTTAATATAGATTCGTCCGGTTATGGTGTTAACGGACTTAGTGGCGTTTATCTCCCAGGTTATAACGACTTGTCTTTCTTCTGTAGTAGCACTGCAAACCAAAGGAATATGCGAACTGGATCGGTGTAGTACTCTCTGACTCGAACTCTGACTCGGAGTCACTAACTAAGACTCGAACCCAAAGATTAGGACTCGAACCCACAGACAATTATAGAAGAAGAAAGAAAGAAGAAGATAATTCAGAAAGAAAAATAAATTTCTGAATTGGTGTGTTAGCAAATGATCCCAAAGGGGGGATATTTATATTACGCAAAGTGCCTTTTCGTGTATGGGTACAACCATGGGTCATGTTGGTTCAGTACCAGTTGCAACTTTTTAGAAACAGATGCAATTCTTTAGAAAACAGATGTCACCCTTTGGAAATAGATGCAACCATTTGGAAAAAACTAACTTTTAATTTAAATTCAAAAATCAACCACCCATTTAAATAAGCCTAATTCAAAAATAAAGGTCCAATTTCGTTAAAAATTAACCACACTTTACAATCAAGTCCAAGCCCAAGCCTGGACCGGGTTAGGTCAGGCGAGCAGGGCGTGCGCGTGTGTGGTAAATGGTTTGGACCCAAACTTGCCTAGGTCCTCCCCCTCTTAAAAACTTGAGTGCCCTTAGACCCAAACCCAAGTCCCAAACTTGGCTTATTTAAACTTCAATTAGTTTCAATATTTTTTCCATTTTGCATACCCATTTAGGCTTATCAACTACCTTACTTACGAGCTAATTTCTCATTGACCCGAAAACGAATTTGAAAAAATAAATATACCAAGTTTATCTCTTTGCGGAGAGAAACACATTCGTTTATAGATCCGTAAAAAACCTATTAGCGGAATCTACTCCAAAATTTCTATTTTGCATACCCGTTTCCAACAAGAGTGATGATAATATCACCTACTTGGTGGAGACGCACTCCGGCAAAAGCACGATCTCTGAGAGATGGATTTGGATATATATATATATATCAAAACAACCAATAGAAGGTTTTTCCTTTTAAAAAAACTGACTTGTTTTATTTCGTTGTAGGGACTGAAATGGTATTCCTTAAGAAAAGGAATGCTCATTCGTGGCCTTCTCTTTTCTTTTAGGGAATGTTTACTCATGCAGGTGTGTGATAAGATCTGTCTTTAATGAAAGTCTAAATCTCGTCAATGTGACCAGAAATCATACATTTCATTCATTCGTACGTGCAAAACGCAACCTTAGAATTTTAGTGTTTAGGTAATGAAAAATATTTTTGTATATTTCATAATGTATAAGGATAATAAGGTAATATGAAACATAAAAGGGGCTGGAGCACCTATCCCCGTACCCGTCCCAAGCCGGGTTTTCATTCTCTCTCCCTATCTGACCACCACACCTCCATTTTATTGCCCCCATGGGTGCGGTGCATGGCAGGGTAGATATATGACATTCTTATCGATATACATGCTGTCACGCCCACGCAGAGCACAAGATGACAGCTCAAAACCTTATTTAGATTATTGTATGTTTATTTTATATAAGATCTCTTGTTCCCCATTGAGATTATAACTGAACAGAAACACGTTTTCTTTCTTTCTTCTCTAATGTCTATTTCTTTATCAGCTTCGCACTACATTTACATGGCTTCCTTATTTATTGATGCTGTTAAGGAATTATTAGTAATCACACCTTCACTGTTTACCCTTTTTTTCTTTCTACAACCTACCTACACATGCTACATCTCTCTCTCTCACTCTCTCTCAACACTTATTTTTTCTCTCACACATTTATGGTGTGTAATTTACAAGAAATTATTAAATAGTAGTTGACTAATTTAATGAAAACTAACTGATCATGAAATTTTGTAATTTATTAATACACTCTTGTGAGACTATTTTTTCAATATGAGAGTCTGTATTTAACTCGTCCACTAAGTGTTAATGGTTCAGGACTAGTCAATAATTCCTCATAACTTACGAGTCTCACCTTAATTTTGCATACTTTATATATATATATATATGTTATATCTCTACACATATATAAAACACGCATTTCATAATAATGGTCAAGGCCGCCTAGATCCTGTGTGAGGACTAAAACAAATTGATTAATTAGGTCTTTTTATATTTAAAATAAAATTAATATTTTTTATTTAAGAAAGGAATGCGATATTCGCAATTCTCTTTTCAACATTTGCATTACAATATTAAATAAAATAATAATTCTAACTTTACCTTTATAAGTAAATAATTATTATTTTTTAAATAATACAACTTTTCTTTCATATTTTTTCTCTTTTATTTATAATTTTTAATATTTTATATATCTTTTGACAAAACAAACAAAATAAATTAAAAATTGCTCATTGATTAATTGGTCAAAATTTGTACAGGTGTTCGAAAATATATAAATTATTTTTAAATTAAGAATGCTGGGCACATGTCCAAAACTGTCCATAAATGTCTCTCGCACATTTATGGTGGAGAGTATGTAGACTCCCACCTTAATTATTGCATGCTATGTATATATATATATACACGCACATATATGTTTTATCTCTACACATATATAAAACACTCATTTGATAATAATGGTCTTGTGTGAGGACTAAAGCAAATAGGTCTTCTTATATTTAATATAAAATTAATATTTTTTTATTTATTTAAGGAAACATACAAAACAATTTGTGTACTCAATTGATGTGTGAGAGAATCCAAAAAGAAATATAATGTTGAACAATTGTTTTTTTTGTTGGTTAAATGTTGAATAATTGTTGATATGTAAGAAAATTTAAAAATTAGAAGATGTGTGAGGTTGTTGAGAGAAAAATTTAAAGGAGTATTGATCAAATAAAACTTCCCATTAAAGAAACTTTAATTGACCAATATAGTAACAGTTACTATATTTATTTAAAAATTAATAGAATACAAAAAAACATATTTAATATACACTAAATATATATATATATACATGGGTAATATATTGAGATCACTTTGAATTATTGTTTTAACGTTAAGCCGCCACTGCATAATTGTGTATCCTATATATATACACACAATGACCAGAGAGCAAGACCACAATGCAATAACAAGATACTAGTAAGAAACGTTCTTCCCATGAATGCTGGTATTGCAGAAACTACTTACGCCAATAAATCAATCCTTCAGGTCTCTCTCTTTCTCACATTAATTTACATAGAATTAAATTTTTTTTTTCTTTTCCAAAATACATTTACATATATAATTAAAGAGTACAAGGTTTCATTCTTGAACAATGACATACCAGAAAGCAAGAGCACAACTGTCCACGATGGAAGCAAAAAATGTTCTTCACATGAATGCTGGAATTGGAGAAACTAGCTACGCCAATAATTCAATCCTTCAGGTCTCTCTCTTACACATTCACACACACACACACACACACATATATTCCTAAATACATTCACATATAATTAAATTAAACAGTACTTGCCTTCCTTTCGAACAGTTTAAATTCAGACTATATATCATAACTCTTTATTTTCCACTTGGACAATTTACTGTGTCCCCCTTAATTTCTTCAGAAAACAATAATACAAAAGGCGTGGCCAGTATTAGAAGACACCCTCAATGACATGTATAATCAAAACTTCCCAAAGTGTTTTCAAATAGCAGACTTGGGTTGCTCGTCAGGTCCAAATACCCTTTTGGTCATCTCCCAAAGCATCAACACAATTCAAGGTTTGTGCCAACGAAATGATTGCAAAACACCGGAATTCCAAGTGTATCTAAATGATCTTCCAGACAACGACTTCAACACCATTTTCAAATCACTACCGAAATTCTACGAGGAGAAGCTCAAGAAACGGAAGGGAGAAGAGTTGAGTCCTTGTTTTGTATCGGGAACGCCGGGCTCTTTCTATGGCAGGCTTTTCCCGAGCAGAAGCTTACACTTCATTCATTCCTCTAGCAGTGTTCATTGGCTCTCTAAGGTACTTAGCATCTTCATTCAAAATCCATAACCATGCATTAATGTCAATTATGTCACATAATTATAGCTTTACTATGTAACTAAAAGACAGGTTCCTGAAAGGCTGGACAATAACAAGGGCAACATATACTTGGCGAATACAAGTCCTTCCCATGTGGTTGAAGCATACCTGAATCAATTTCAAAGCGATTTCTCAACATTTCTAAGCTTACGCGCAGAGGAAATAGTACCCGGAGGGCGTATGGTTCTAACATTCCGTTGTAGAAGCATTGCAGATCCTACGAGCAAAGATTGTCGCTGTCTCTGGGAGCTCTTAGCAGAATCACTTCTTGACATGGTGGCTGAGGTGTGTAGACCCTACAAACAAATCCATTTTTTCGAAACGTCATGACTTTGACTCCATGTATACATAATAATCATATGTAAAAACACAACTAAGCCCATGTTTATCGTCATTCAATAATTTTCCTTTGGATCTCTAAAATCTCATAGTAATCACATTAATTTGGTTTTAGGGGCTCATCGATGAAGCTAAAGTTGATTCATTCAATTTGCCCTTTCATGCACCCTACAAGGATGAGGTGAAGGCTATAATTCACAAGGAAGGATCCTTTACTCTGGACAAGCTAGAAGTTTTTGAAGTGGATTGGGACGCCAGTGACAAAGATGATGACAAACATTTTGTTTTCGACAAATATAGGAGTGGGAAACTTGTGGCGAGTTGCATAAGAGCTGCTATGGAGCCTATCTTGGCTAGTCATTTTGGTGATACTGTGATTGACAAACTCTTTGCAAGATTTGCACATCATGTGGCTGAGAATCAGTCCGTGGATAAACTGAAGTGCTTCAACATAGTTGTTTCGTTAACAAAGAAGTGACCATTCACAAAGGGCAAATAAATGGTGTTGCAATTTAGGATTTAGAAATATGCTATGTTAATTAACATGTATGATATATATATATATGTGTGTGTGTGTGTGTGTGTGTGTGTGTGTGTGTGTGTGTGTGATGTTTTTCTGGCACAATAACAACAGGCATATGCTCTGCCCCTCTAGGATCTAAGAATATGTATCAGTATTTTAACATTGTGCGTGTGGTACTTTGAAATAAAAAATTTATTTTAGCAGTACTTGATACTTTGATAATCATTAAATTAAAATAAAAAACTAATTCTATGATCACTTCTATACTTCATCTCTTAAAGGGCATGCAGGTGATGAAACCTAGAGTTTCCGGTGTTTGCTCAGTATCCAAGAAAAAACAGCTATTTTACAAGAAGAATGTCTTGCAACACTAGTAAAATGGAGAGGACCTCCCATAGCTTCAATAAAATAGGAAACAGCTTTTGAAGGTCAAATTAGAAAACTCCAACCAAAAAAATAGCCCTACTAAAATTGCTTTTCCATGATATAGTACACATGCACACAACTTTCAAAGGTTCTCTGAGCAGAAATCAATTACTAATTGATACGTAAATAAATATGTCAACTTTATTTAATTTATTATTTACATGCTGATTAATTATTGATCGGAGCTTGTGATTCAAAAACCAACAGTCAAGCAAGTAAACCGGTGTTATTTAAAGGGATTTTTACATATAAATGGAGTTAGGGAGCCATATTTACTTATGGATGAAGTCAAAGTCTTATATTTTCACAAAAATGAGTTTGACCTAAATGATGACATGGCACATGAAGTTTTACTGTTTAAAATTTTTGTTACCTAAAATACCCTTCTCTCTATTCCAATGCATTTACCTTATTACCCTTAGTTAGAAAATATGATACCTGAAGGCCAAAAAGTGGTACCTTCAGTTCAAAAACGTGGTACCTTTAGAACAAAAGTGGTACCTTCGTAAAATGGACTTATTTTTGCAATTGAAAATGGCATTAAACCCCACACCGCTAATTAAGTTGTACATTACATCCATAAACAGCTCCATTAGCGCCATGAATAACACAAAATATTCTCCAAGCTAGCTAAGCGAGTATTTAGAAAACATGGTACCTAGAGCCCAAAAAGTGGAACCTTCAGTTTAAAAACATGGTACCTTTAGAACAAAAGTGGTACCTTCGTAAAAGGAACTTATTTTTGCAATTGAAAATGGTATTAAACCCCACACCGCTAATTAAGTTGCACATTAGATTCATAAACCGCTCCATTAGCGCTATAAATAACACAAATATTTCTTAATTATCATATACTACATCTAAATAGTTAGTATGGTAGATTTTTTTTTTCGCACCATTTTAATCGGCAAGGCTGTTTGGGACTTTTGAATAACTATTTCAATAATGCAATTGTTAAAAAAATTATGGTATCCAAAGATCATGTTTGATATGGATCTGGGTCATAATTAAATCTTTAGAATTTTTCAATGATAATAGAGAGACAATTTGGTCTCTAGACCTCTTATACATGAAGACCATTTAGAATTTTGATATCGATCTGGGTCCTAATTAATTGTAGAATGCTACTTATATATATATTAATTGTATGATGAGAATATAATGTTTATCATGAATTCAAACATACATCTTATACATTATAACTTAAAGAGATTAATGTGTTATTGAGATTCTGGAATGCCCCAGTCTAGAATCATATTTTTCTTTACATACAATTATAATTATACTGATGTGTTATTGAAATTTTGGAATGCCCCAGTTTAAAAATTCTAGAATGCCTCATCTTATGCATTTAATTATGTTTTTTCATTTTGTTTAAGAGTTTGAAAATTTGTCCACGTTTTCATTTCCTCTCCTTCACCTTTCCCGTTTCGCTTACTTCTTTAAGGTTAGTTAATTTTTTCGTTAATGTGATACAATTAAATGTAGTAACCCCCCCCCCCCCCCCCCCCCCCCTTTTTTTTTTTTTTTTGACTTTGTATGGATGAGTGGGGGCTAATATTGCAATCAAGACTTTGTATGGATGAGTGGGGCTTAATAAATGTTCAAACTTAATAATTGTGTTCTTATTTTGCAAAAGATGATTGCTTCCTTTAAATTTAGTGATTTAGTTTTTTATTTCTTGTTGACTTTATTAGATTGGATGGATGATAACTTTTTTTACATTCGTGGTGATTTAAAGTATTTTGTAGACATGGTACTTCACTTGATGATTTTGATTTAATGAAAAGTAATGGATTTTGGTTGTTCTATTTAATAAATACATGTTAGGCTCTTCTATTTAATAAGAAGGTTTATAAATTTTTCAGCAGTAGTTTATGAATCTAATGTGTAACTTAATTAACGGTGTGGGGTTTAATACCATTTTCAATTGCAAAAATAAGTTCCTTTTACGAAGGTACCACTTTTGTTCTAAAGGTACCACGTTTTTGAACTGAAGGTACCACTTTTTGGCCTTCAGGTACCATGTTTTCTAAACACTCGCTTAGCTAGTTCTAATGGAGCTGTTTATGGATGTAATGTGCAACTTAATTAGCGGTGTGGGGTTTAATGTCATTTTCAATTACAAAAACAAGTCACTTTTACGAAGGTACCACTTTTGTTCTAAAGGTACCACGTTTTTTAACTGAAGGTACCACTTTTTGGCCTCCAGGTACCATGTTTTCTAAACAGGGGTGATAAGGTAAATGCATTGGAATAGGGAGAAGGGCATTTTAGGTAACAAAAATTTTAAACAGTAAAACTTCATGTGCCATGTCATCATTTACGTCAAACTCATTTTTGTGAAAATATAAGACTTTGACTCCATCCATGAGTAAATATGACTCCCTAACTCCATTTAGATGTAAAAATCCCTTATTTAAAATTCTAGATGAGTTGGCGATGGCTACATAATTATTAGTCAGCAGGAATTATTCAGTAGTCCCATAATTGATAGAGTGAAGCTCATATGTGAATCGTATGGCAGATACAGAGACTTGTGAACGGAAAAAATAATAACATATCTATAAAATTGTCTCTTTGGGTCCTCTTAAATTGGTATGATACCATTCGGTGATGGATCCAAGAAATTTTATAAGGGAGGCGGCCTTTTAATAACAACATAAATAATATATATATATATATATATATATATATAAAACCATCCTAATAAACAAAAAGAAAATTTCCATTCATTGATAATTCCATTGAGCACATTTACAATTTTTTTTTTTCGATAATTAAGCAAATTCATTAAAGGCATTTAAAAGGAGAACGCGTCCCAAAAACAACAAAAGGATTCCATTGAGTACATTTACAATTCAAATCATCATAATAAGCAAAAATATTTTTTTTGTTCATTGAATCATTCCATTGAGTACACTCACAATTGTCCCCGACGACTTTTCATATTTTGAAAACATCGTATGATAACTTCATTATCTATGCCACTAGATATTTCCTTTTCAATATATATTATCAGGCTATCACTCATCCATTCATCTCCTATCTTGTTGCGCAATCGGTTCTTCATGATATTCATAGCAAAAAATGCCCTCTCTACACTAGCAGTTGTAACTGGTAGGATCAACGCTAATGTCACATGCAAATAAACTGGTGAATGTACCTTGTCTCTTTTGGTTTCCACCAATTTTTTTACAAGGTCACCAATCCCTTTTAATCCTTCAAACTCGCTATTAGAACGCATATCCGCAATATAATTCTAAAGTTGATCACCAAGTCTCATAAGAGCATGTGGAGAAAAATCTTTTGGATAAAATTGAGCAAGACGAATTAGTTTTTGCTTTTCAAAAGCACAAAATGAATCATCCGAACACAAGCAAGCCACACAAAGCAACAACTCGGAACTTATTTCAGTAAAACGACTAGTTAGCTCTTGAAGTTGCATATCTATGATGGAATAAAACAAATCAACACGATAATGATGCAAATTCGACTTGTCATGAGCTTTACGTCATAGTTTTCCACGAAGTAGAAATGTAATGTCATATTTCACACAAAAAGAAGAAACTTCATTGAGTAAAGAATCCCATCCACTTTCTCTCATCCTTTGTAATTGGACCTTGCTTAATTTGACCAAGGATATAGCTACCACAATATCTTGATCTTTCCTTTGAAGTGCCTTTGACAAATTATTTGTAATTCCCAAAACAGCTTTCATCAAATGCAAACAAAATATGAATTTAAAGGATTGTATAAATTCTAATAAAAGATTTACTTTAAACTTCTTTTTTGATGACTCTTCATCTGTAAGTGTCTCAAGTACAGTAACAATAACTGAAAACAAAGTAATCACGTTAATCAAAGTGTCATAATGTGAAAACCAACGTGTATCACTAGCTCATTTAAGAGAAGTGTTTTGATTTAGGCCTTGCCCACTTGAAATCTCACCATTGTTAAGTGCCTCGATAACTATAGAAGCTTGCTTCTCTCGAAGAATATCACAACGTTTACATGAACCGCTAACTACATTTATAAGATTAGCAACAAAAGTGAAAAGAGAAACAATATCCTCATGTTTTTTTGCCATACCCATGAGAGCTAATTGGTGTTAATAGGCAAAACAATGAATGTAAAAAGCACATTCATTCTCCTTCAAGATGAGAGTTTTGAGACCATTGAACTGACCTCGCATATTACTAGCCCCAAACACATTCATTCTCCTTCATGATGAGAGTTTTGAGACCATTGAACTGACCTCGCATATTACTAGCCCCATCATAACTTTGCCCTCGTAATCTAGAATTGCTCAACCCATGTCTAGAAAATAAAACATCAATCGCCTTCTTGAGTGAGATGGAAGTGGTATCAGAAACATGCACTAGACCCACAAAACGTTCAACTACATGCTCATTCTTGTCCACATACTGTAAAACATAAGCCATTTGCTCCTTTGTTGATATATCCCGAGATTAATCAATTAGAATAGAAAAAAAAGCATTGCCAATATCTTCGATAATAACATTGAGAGTCTCCAATGCAATGGCATTAACAATGTCCTTTTGGATCTTAAGTGCCGTTAATTTGTGATTTTCATAAGCATTTTGGAATGTAACCGCATTAATATCTTCATTATGATTCGCAAGAAATCGCAATGCTTCAAGAAAATTCCCTTGGTTGCTTGAATCCTCAGATTCAACGTCACCACGAAATGCAAGACCTTGTCGCAAAAGATAATGCAATCAATCGTGTTTGATATGCAATTCGTGTCTTGTCCGATTGCTTGAAGAAATTTGACTGAATGTGTTGCTTCTGCTTCATTAATGCTTAGCACATACTGGAACATTGGTTGTGGGCACTTTTCGTACCTTCAACGTGGCTTTGTAATTTTTCCAAACCCTTCTTCCAATTAGAAAATCCTTCACTCATGAAGGTATCACCACCCAATTGTTCTCCAATTTTTGGTTTAAAAAGATAGCAACATAGACAATATGCTTCATCTTTATTTATGCTATATTCTAACTAAGTAGAAAATGCATTAAACCATGCCGGGTTGAATCGTCGTAAACATTGCCCATAACTCTTATAAGAAAAATGATATTTTTTAGGTTGGCAAGGAGCCTTTAGTATATATGCTCTCCGAATTTGATCTCGGATATCGGGATGGTAATTCAATATCGGAGTTCGTAGTCCAGGATCTGCAGCCAGATCCTCAAGGTTGATCTCTACATCACATATCTTTGAAGAGCCATCATCTCTTCTTAGAGATGGTGGCAACCCTCTTGTCACAAATTTGTCCATTACTGATCAATTTCTATAGAGAGTGACGACATTTTAGTTTGGTTTCTTAGTGATCAATTTCCCATCAACAAAATAAAAAAATTCAGAAATTTCATATTATAACAAATTGTGCGCCTATGTTGTTGTGCATTGCACTAAAAAAAAAAAGAAATTAAATATTAAGAAATTTCATATAAGAAAATAATTATGCGTCTGTGTTGTTGTTCATTGTACCAAAAAAAAAAAAAAAAAACAGAAAAAAAAATTAGAAATTGCATATGCATTGCTATTAGAAAAAATAAATCAAAGGGCGTACCAGAACTTGATCTTGCAAGTTGTAACACTAAACATTCCCAATTCCTCAAAATTGTTGTTATTGTACAAAGGGCCTCAACATGCACCAACAATCAATCGAAATAGCTGTAAATAACAAAAATGAATGAATAAATAAATTTCACAGAATTTTTCAGTATTTAATTTGACTTTAATAAAACTTTATTGCAAAATTTTGAACCTACTTTACCCAAAGATTAAAGAAAGTTAATTCCATGTGCTACATACATCCTACAGTTCCTACTGGCTTGTAATGTTTCCAAATTTTACTATTTTTCAATTTCTGGAAATTTCTAATTTTTCGATGGTGTTATCGTCTTTTCTCATTTTACGTGCCAGACACCGTGGGGTGTGCCGGGTGTGTCCGAGAGTTGATTGAGGCATTTCATTGAGTTCAGAACTCTTTGAAATGCAAGGATTGTCATTTTTGCATTTATCTGTTTTTCGGGTCGGATGGTCCCGTGTGGGACCCGCTACCGGAACTATTCCGTACAGGGATTTTTAGTTGGGTCAATTTGCACCTTATGCATCTTATTTATTATATTTATGTGGATGTGAATTATTAAATGTGTATATATATTGTGTGGTGTAGAAAAGGAAAAAAAAAAAAAAAAAAGGAAAAGAAAATATTTTAAATTGCTGTGGGACCCGCTATTTTAATGGTCATTACAAATGACCTTGTATGATTATTCCTCTCTTTCTCACGCAGCCAGCAGCGAGCTCCCTCTCTAGTTTCCATTTTTTTTTTTTTTTTCTTTTCTTACACTAAAGTCTTGATTTCTTCTTCATCATTAGGAATTTTTGGGTGCCGTTTGCGGCAAATCGAAGAGTTCGGCGAGATCTTCAAGTGGGTGTAAGTAATTTATCATTTGGTGCACCCTAGGAAATTTGAAATCTAGGGTTCAAATTGGGGGTTTTCATTATTTTGAGGTAGGGGTGCTCTAATTCACAATTTCTTAAATTTCTTGTGAATTTTTCCTTTAATTTGACTCTAAGCATGCTTAATTGTAATTATCTTGACAATGTTTGTTATGGTTGTTGGTATTTAAGGTAATAAAGGCATGCTATGCGTTAAGTGAGCTTATGAATGTGTTTAAATTCTCGTGGTGAAGAAGCATGCTTAGTGTTGATGTATTATATGTCCTATGATTTTAAATTGCTATGAAAAGTGATGTTGTAGTTATGAAAATAAATAACTTTATTTTATGCCTTATGTATTGAAGTTGTGGAAATTCATGTTTTAAACATGTTTGAATGATGTGGATGATATGTATGAAATTTCTATATTGTTATGGTATTGAAGGATTTGCATAATTCATACATTACCATTGGGAAAGTAAAGAGAAAAGTTTGTTTTAAAAACAAATGAAATTGTTTTTGGGAAAAGTTTTTTTTGAAAAGTGTTTGTGAAAACCGGACGCCTAGCGGTTCGTGTTGTTAGTGTAGTCTAGAAGGGAGTATGGTTGAGCTAACTAGGCTGGATACGACGCCTTGGAGGTGCCTTGTGGTCATGGATAGTTAGTCAACCCTCCATTCGTGATGTCTTGGAGGTGCCTTGGGTCAGATTGCACTAACAGTTTGGAAGTTGAAACGGTATTGTTTCATAAATGGATAGCGACATGGCATGGCAAGGCATTTTATTGGCATACATTGTACATTTGGTGGTTAAACGACTTACGTATATATTTGTTGATATTATCATTGTTTTTTCTTGTTTTCCTCGAGGCATGATCCCATTTACTTGTACTCTATTTCTTATGTGGATTCACGGGGTCGTAAGAAGTGTGTCTCAGACACTTCCTACTAAGCGTTTAACTCACCCCATTACTTTAATATTTTTCAGGATACGGAAAGGAAGTGGCGGACGAAGTTTCTCCACAGGTTTTGATGGGTTAGTGGACTGTTTTGACATATTTGTAACCATGATCTCATTTTATTATTGTTATTTACTTATTTTATTTTATTTATAAACCCTGGGATGACATGTATATTAAGTATTGACACAGGAAATGATGGTAACGTCTTTAGTTGACCTCGTGTTCATGTAAGGACCCGGTTAGTGATTCGGACCCTCGGATTTGGGTCATTACATGGCTACTACAATAGGAACAGAATGTCCTACTTTCTATAGATTTAAAAGTTAAAGCAACTAAACAAGTTATGATCCAATCATCCAACCATAATTTTAGAGGCGACAAACAATTTCCTTTTATAGATAAAGTCCCTTTTTGAGAACTTTTTACAAATTACAAAACCTTATTATATTCCTTTCCGGAATCTCAATCCTCCGTCTTTAAAAAAAAAAAAAAAAAAAATACAGTAAACTAATCATCTAACCAAATCACTGGTAATCTCTCTCTTTTCTATATAAATTTATGTGTGTATGCATTTATATATGGGAATTGGGATAATTCTAAAAAAATAAAATTTTGTGGGTCAAAGGATGAAACAATAGGGTCAAAATTAAGTATATCACACTCACCGTAGTGACCGTACTGTGGTGCTGAAATCAGTCTTGAGAGAACCAAATCACCGTAATGAATTTTGAAGGTTGAATCCCTAATTTTCGTTCAGGAGGCAGAGATGAGAGTCTTGAGAGAACCAAAGTGTGAAAGAGTAAAGTTAGGAGATAAAATAATATTTTTGGGAACTTATATAGTGGGGGCATTTGTGAAATTTCAGGGAGGGGGGGATTGTTTAAATTTTAAAAAAAGTGTAGTATATAATACAAAAAAGAAAAAAAAAATTCCAGAGGGGGCATTGCCCCCCTTAGTCCCCAGGTAGGTCTGTGCCTAATACTATTATTATTATTATTATTGAAAATTATTAAATCCTTCGAGAATCTTACCTCGCAATCTATCAAAGACTTGGAGCAAGACATTGTTGTTGGAACTTGGATAGGCCCTTACCACAAAAACAGTAGAAGATGGTGAGCGATAGCAAACAACTAGTAAAATATATTTCGATAAGGTCTGACTCTATTTTTATAAACTAAAAAATTCAATTATTAATCACTAGGTATAATTCAAGCGGATTCTCTTTTACATATCTATATACACAGAGAGAGATGCGATTAGAAAATAGAAAAATGTGATATATAAATAGAGAGAGAGGGGACTAGAAAGAAAATGGCAAATTTTTATTTATTTATTTATTTTATCCTGGCAAAAAATCGACATACGACATCTACACGGGCAAAAAGAAAGGACCATATAAAAACATCAAGTACTAGCATCACCAAAACAACAATAGCCTTCCAAACACAATAGCCTTCCAACAGCAAGGTTAACAACAACCTAAAACTTTAATGGGTATTAAGAAGTTTGGATTGGCTAGCTTCCATGATAAGCACAACTTGAAGCAAAGGCCTTATGCATCAAACACAGGGACCCATAAAACAAATAAACTTGGTTAGCTTCCCATGGGATACGAAACACAAGAAACACAGTAATGATAAGCATCAGACACAAGGCTCGAGGGTACACGTGGCCATCACCCATAAACATCCAAGAAAGAACTTGTGCAATACAATTCCAAGACGTCAGCGAAGACACCACAGTAAAAAATGTGTCAAGAAAAGATTGAAATAGCACTGCCATACACACATGACCTTGCCCACCCAACTCCCAAAGAAGTCTTCCAAAGGACAGGTCTAAGACATTATCCATGACGTCATGCCTACCCAGGCCGAAAACCCAAATCCCGACCACAGTAGCCGACACGCCGATGAACCAACCACCGTAAAACAGTATCCACAATGGCCACCGAACTCCTGGATAAAAAACAAAGCACACTGATCTTTCGTCGGACATAAAGTATCCAAATGATCAAC